GTTTCTTTCCTAATATATGATGCAGTTGAAATTTGTATTTACTTTTAAACTTCACAATCTCATTCATACGTCTTGGATTATTCTTGATATATCTTGGATTTCTGCTTTAATTCTCATATGTGTTTTCTTGTATTATGTTTCGATTTTACAACAATTAATAATTTATAACTCTGCTATCTTTACGTTTTTAAGATAAATGCTAGACATTTTATTACGGTAGATCTTGCACCAAAATTGGTATCAAAGCCACACCCTGTTTAGAGAATTAATAGTTGTCACTAGTTATTGTATCTAAAGAAACTTATTAAATTAATCCATTAGATAAAGTTGGTCCGAGCATTAAGGTTAGAGACGCTCAGACACCCAGTCTAAAGACCGTTAAGGCCAGGAGAGCCGCTGAGGTCGAAAGAGACATAAGAGGTAGTCACAGAAGACTGTCTAGATAACACTCAACCGCAACCTAATAATGAAATAATTTATTAAGAATCTATCAGATAAAGCAATTAGTTCAACTAGTAGTACTCTAATAATTAAAAATAAATAAGAAATTATCATAAATGATATAGAAGCCCAAATTCAAAATTGAAACATACCAAAGGTTCCAATATCTGATGTTTATAAAAAAGGTACTTTTGATCTTAAAATCGGATATGCTATCAAAATAGCAAAACAGACTCTATCTGTTACAAGTAACCAAGAGGATTTCCAATTATTATCTAATAAAATATTACAAGTTCATAAAACAAAAAATTATAAATATCTCCATATAGGTTTAATACAAATTGCAGTTAAACCTTTAACACGTTTAGGACTTATTAATTCTATCCTGGTATGTCTACGTGACACTAGACATAATAGATTTTCTAACTCATTACTCGGAATGGTTGAATCTAGCCTATGTAGTGGACCAATTTATTTTAATTTTTTTCCTAATTATTCTGTATCACTTACAGATCCAAATATTTTAAATGTTTTAAGTCTAAACTTGAAAACTCAAGGATTTGATATGATGTTAGGTTCCCAAAATATAGCCATTGTCTATCGTATTTATTACAAAGTAATGAATACATTATGTCCTAATGTACTTCAAGTAGACACACGAGGACAGACTATATTTTTCCAAACCAATATAGAAAGATCCAATACCATCATACCAAAAACAATATCCTGGTCAGACATTATCTTACCAGAATCATGGTCTATTCATAATGAAAACCAACCATCCCAAACATCTATACAAAATATTCCAGATAAAATTATAGAACATACAGATGGAAATATCGAAATCCAATTTACTAATAATAGAACTACTATTCCTACTACCATAGTAGATTCTATCGTTGTTCCTCAATTTTCTCCCAAAATTGAACCTTCAAGACAATCTGTTACTACGTATACCCATAGTCCACATCTAAGGATTCCTTCCTCCACAAGTAATACTCCTCAGAGACTACAAATTGATGGATTAAGAAGAACACCAGATAATATTATTATTCCACAATATAAACAAGCCCAACAAGAACCTGAAGAATCTGACTTCCTTCAAGTCTTACAACTTCAAGAACAATTCGATAATCAATATATTGAAAATGACTATTTATCTGTTGAAAATACAGATATAAGAGAATGGTATCTTGATACATTTGAACCAAAATTAATATCTTTATTTCATAAAAAATATAACAAATACCGAAAACAAGGAAACAAAAGTACTTGTTTCTTCACATGGTTAAAAGATATTTTACACCAATACTCTATTCCTATACCAGAATTTCATCTTCAAACACTTGAATCTCAATATACTGTATTTAATACAACAGAGGGAAAACCGATTACTTCAATCCATCTTCCTGAAAAAAGCCTCAAAATCAAGGGAGCACCATCAAAAACTCCCACAGAAACAGACAATGAGTACGAAGAATCAACCTCTCAAAACCAAATCGGGTCCCTTTATNAAAGTGTAGCTACTCCTTATAAAGTTAAACAATGGCAAATATAGTCTCCGTAATTATAATACTATATAATACTAATATATATA